CTCAGACAGCCAGCTGTGATTCCTCCTGAGCCACACTCAACGCATGGAGAGCTTTAGTTGGCTCGTTGTGGGGTGGTTATTTGGGGTTTTATCATCATCAGTGAGCACAACAGGTACTTGGATGTGCATGAAGGCAACAAAAAGCCTTTAAACATCTGCACTAAATTACCAGGTAACGAGAAGGCAGCTATTTCCTCCCCAACTGGTTACAGGAAACAGGTTTTAAACTATCAGTGAAGCAGAAAAAAAAGGGCTCTGATAATTCCCAAATGCTCCATCGCCTGCTGAGGTGGCCTCAGAGGAGGTTCCTTACCTTTGCTTCTCCATTATCCCATTGACACCTCCCCCAAAACCTTCAGACCTGGGCTTTGCAGAGCCTGGAGCAAGTGCCAGGTACCAACCACACCCCTCAACAGATTGTGTCACACCAAGAGAAAGGATGATCATTTGGTTAAAATCCCAGATTGTTTCTCAGCTACAGACAGAAGAGATAGCAGAGTGCAGGAAGGCACAGCTACTCCTCCTTTCCAGAACAGATGCAGCTCCTTCAGAGGCTTCCACAAATAGCCAAGGGATCAAAAGGCACCACGAGAACAGGCACCACAAAACACTGAGGCCTTTTTCTCTGACAGGCACTGCTGCAGGAAGGGAGGGAGAAAAAGGGCAGTGGTGCAATTCAAGGTCCTTAGGGCAGTGAGGAGGGATCAGACCCCAAGCTGGTTGCACTGGGAAAGAACCTCAGACTGGTTTGGGATGGCAGGGACAACCCCACTAGCCCAGGTTGCTCCAACCTGGCCTTGGACATTCCCAGGGATGGGGCAGCCACAGCTTCTCTGTGCCAGGGCCTGCCCACCCTCCCAGCCAGGAATTCCTTCCCAATATCCCATCTAACCCTGTGCTTTGTCCACATGTGAATCCATTCCCCCTTGTCCTGTCCCTCCATCCCTTGTCCCCAGTCCCTCTCCAGCTCTCCTGGAGCCCCTTTATGCCTTGGAAAGGGCTCTCAGGTCCCCCTGGAACCTCCTCTTCTCCCAGCAATTCCTGTGCATTCCTTCCAGGCCACCTGTCCCTGCTCCCACCCTCCGTGGGCTTCCCTTTTGGCTTTCAGGTTGTCCAGGAGCTCCTGGTCCATCCACGCCGTTCCTCCACCCTGGTGTTTCTGCCTGACTTCCCCTTTTGTTGGGATGCACTGTTGATATTCCATGTGCACCCGAGAAACCCAAGTTCAACAACTCCTGGGAAATGCAGACAGTCCAAACACAACCCCAAATATCCAATGGAAAAACCAACACCAGGAATTTTAAACAGGCGGGAAGGGGATGAGCTTTGAAACCACCAGCGGGACAAACTAACAGCTCTCCGGAGAAGGTAAGCTGAGAATTCCTTAAAAACCAAGGGAGTTTCAAGTTGCAGAGGGATGGCAGTCCCTGCAGGACCGTGAGCAGGGTGACACCAGCTTCAGGTTACACGCGAAGCACCCGCAGCTCTCCAGCCCTCCCATAAAACACACCCAGCTCAGCAGGGCCTGGACCAGCAGTTACGCAACAGCACAGCTCCCCAGAGCTCCCCAGACAGTTACAGTCCACAAGTTACTACCCTGCACCCGTCTTTTCAACATCAAAACTCTCCCTTCCCGACTAAAGAGATGGTTGTCATTTTCTCCAGGGCCTCACTGGGTGCAGAAATGTCACCACAGGGACAGGTAACGGGGAGTCCTTTGGCTCTCTTGGACACGCCGCTGCCCTTCAGACCTGCTCACCCCATGGAAGCTGCAGCAGAAACTCAAATATTTCTGTTGCATTCAGTTCTGCCCACTCAATCCAAACAAATTATGGGAAAGTAGAGGTGTTGCCATGCGATAATTATTAATATTTGGATCTGCATCGCATTTTCTGCAAGCCTCCCCCCAATACAGGTGATGTGTGTGACCCAGAAACCAGAATTCCTCAAGCCTGAGGCATTAAGGGCCGATAAAACCCACCTGATAAAAGCAGATGAAAGGCAGCAAGAAACACACTTGCCCACACACAATAGCTCCACCTAATCCCCCAGCACAGAGCTCTCTCCCTTCGCCTTTTCAGCAAAGATTAGCATTTTTAAAACTGCTACACTCTGTATAATCTTCAATCATCAAGGAGAGTAATTCAATTAAGGGGAGCGCTGGGGAAGTTGCTGGTGCAAGTTGAAAAAAAATCAGGGATGGGAAGAGAGGAGGAGGAGGAGGAGAAAGAGGAGAAGGTTCTCCTGGCTGGACATGGATGATGTTGCAGGCTCGTGATGCTCCCCCAGCACATGCGGCAAGTCTGGGCTGGGGAGGGGCTGGGGACAAAGCCTGGAGATTCTGGGGAGCAAGGAGCAGGGAAAATCAGCATCTCAGCACGGGAAAAAGAACCTGCAGCCAGTGGGGAACAGCAGGAGGAGGCAGGATCACTGCAGTCCACGGGAATACGGCACTGGATTCCCACAACATGGCTGAGGGGAGAGGAGAAAACCAGGCACTGCATCCACCGTGCAACCCCACTCCAGCCGGGAATAAAACATTCCCAGGCTGTACCACTGCAGAGCCTGGGAGGAATTCCAGTGCAGACTTCCTCAGCCACAGCATTTGCTGGAGAGGCTGTGCCCAGCTCTGGCTGCTGAGGCAGCTCGTGGCCCTGGCAGCCCTTTGTGACATCCCATTCCTCATCCTGGAGCCCCTGGATGCGCGTGGAGCAGGAGCACTCGGCCTCCCCACGGGCACCAGTGGGATACCTTGACCCACGGCCTTCCACCAGGGCACACAAACCCTGCAGCCCAGCAGGGAGAGAATGCACCAACCCAGAGCAACAGTTGTACAAAGACCCCCTCAGGAGCAAAACCTGCTTTTGTAAAAAAACTTTCATTCCCGCGATTCCCTCGCCCTTCCCAACAAAGGTGGGAGCAGAGCCCGCCCCGGCTCCCTTTCTTTGCAGCACCAGAGATTCTCCTGCCATTATTTCCAAAGGTTATTTGGAATGGGAGCTATGCTCCCTCTGGGCAGGAAAAAAAAAAATGGCAGGGAATGACATCATGGCAGAGACATCTGAGGAGATTCGGTTCAGGAAAAGCCGTGTCTCCAGCACAGACTCATCCCCGAGCTCCGTGTGGGAACGTGCCCACGCTGCAGCACCCACGGGATGCAGGGACACGCCGAGCGCGGAGCGGGCACGGAATCATCCATCCCCGGCATCCCAGACAAAGGCAGGACTGCAGCTGCTGGCCAGGCCCTGGATTCAAAGCAGCTCCCACCCATCCCCAAGCTCCGGCCAAGGCAGCAGTTGCAGGGATGAATATCCAGGCAGGAGCATCTTGCTCTGCTGTACCCACAGAACCCCTTCTCTCCTCCCTAGATTTGATGCTGCGGCCAGGAATTATTTAAAACCTCCCAGTATAAACACAGATGAGGAGCTGAGAGGGGAAAAAAAAAAATCCCTACAGGAAGGAGATATCTGATGTTATGTCTGCTGCGAGAGACGAGAAAGGCACGTGTAAAAGAGCTGCTGAGATTTCAGATCTGCACCGGGTGCCACAACCTTCCAGGGAGGGAAAAGCTTCGGGATATTGAAGCTCAGAAATACAGGAAAACAAGCCAAATATTTTGCAAATGCATTGCTAATATTTAAAATTCCTGTTGTCAAATGCCTGGGGAAAACAAGCAAACAAACAAACTAAAAACCCCCACGACAAACCAGCATTTTCTACACATGACCCTCTTCCAAAATCCTCATAAAATGGCTGGCCAAACATCACCTCAGCAAGTACATCAGGTGACTTATCCCCTCAAAAAAATAATAAATACCCAAGTTGCACTTGTGCTCTCGAAATTCCTGATATGAAAAAGAGCTGTTTCAACCCCAAAACCACAGAAGAAAAAAGGATTAAAGAAACAGACTAAAGAAAACAACCGATGTATAGGTGAATAATTTCAGTAACAGCCTAATGACCAAACTCATCCACATGAGTGAGGAAATATCAAGTTTTAAGTCATTTGGCACCCCCAAAAAAAAAAAAAAAAATCCAAGTATTTCATCATCTCCCACACAGAGACCAAAGGTGGCTGAGGGAGCAAATACCCCGCCCTGAGACAGAAATATTCTGCACCTCCTCATCATGCCAAAGATCGCTCAGTATCTCACCAGGATTACACAAAGCAGCTGATAAAGGAGCTTTTTTTTTTGCCTTTTTTTTTTTAATCAGAAAACTCTTGCAAGGGAAAATGTGGAATGCAGTAATGGAGAGAGAGGCCTTCCGCTGAGGAAGGAGGAGACAGCGTTGAGGTTGGGTGGTTTGGTTTTTTTTTTTCATTCCAGAGACAGGGAAGAAAACCTCACTGGCTGAATTAAATATTCAGAGCGTTGCTCTGCCAAGACAGAACTCCATTATGGAGAAACGCTGTATTTACACGGAAAACAGCGAGGATTGGGGCTCCTTCCCCCAAAAAACCGGAGGGGCCGGGATCAAATGAATCAGCAACTGTTCCTGAATCAGACAGGCTTTGGTTGGGGGGGAGGGGGGGTTAAACCAGAGCTGAACCCCTCAGACTCCCAGGAGGGTGGGTGGGTGTCAGGGACCCCCGTGAGGGTGGGTGGGTGGGTGTCAGGGAGGGTGATTCTCTGAGACCCCCCCGGAGGGTATGTGTGTGTCCAGGACCCCCGTGAGGGTGGGTGGGTGTCAGGGAAGGTGAGGGAGGGGGATCCCCTCAGACCCCCAGGAGGGTTGGGTGGGTGCCAGGGAGGATGAGGAGGGTGAGAGTCTCAGACCCCCCATAGGGGTGGAGGGGTGGAAGGCAGGAGGGTGAGGAGGGGGATCCTCTCAGACCCCTGTGAGAGTATGCGGGTGGACGGGAGTGAAAGGGACCCCCACGAGGGTGGGTGGGTGTCAGTGAGGGTGAGGAGTGGGGTCCCCTCCTGCTCCCCCGAGGTCGGGCGGGTGTCCGGAGGGATCCCCCCGCCATTCCCGGCCCGAGGCGGGCGGTGACTCACCGCTCTGCTCGCCCAGGAACACCAGCTTGAATTTCCGCAGCGGGTTCCCGAAGTCCCCGCCCGACGACATGATGGAGGAGCCGCCGCCGCCGCCCCGCGCTCGCTCCGCTCCCCGCGGCGGGACCCGCGACCGCTCCCGCTGCTTTGCGCCCTCCTCCCGCTCCTGCCCGTCCTCCCGCCGGTGCCGCCGCTCCCCGGCGAGGGCTGCGGAGCCCGCGGAGGTGCCGGTGTCTGTGTCGGTGTCTGTGTCTGTGCCGGTGCCGCCGCTCTCCCCCCCCTCCCAAGCTCCGCTCCCGGAGCCGCCGCTCCGCCCGCCCCGCGCACGCGCCCTGGGAGCCTCCCGCCCTCACGGAGCGGGAACGGGGCGGGAATGGGGCGGGCCGGCAGGGAATTCGGGGATCGGCCCGTTCCGACGCCCCTGCCGCGGGCAGGGACCCCTTCCACCCGGGTCGGGGTGCTCCCACCTGGCCTTGGACGCTTCCAGGGGCAGCCACGGTTTCTCTGGGAAATCCGCTCCAGCCCCTCACCACCCTCACAGGGAAGAATTCCTTCCCAATATCCCATTTAACGCTGTGTTTTGCCCATGTAAATCCGTTTCCCATGTGCTGTCCCTCCATCCCTTGTCCCAAGTCCCTCTCCAGCTCTCCTGGAGCCCCTTTAGGCCCTGGAAGGGGCTCCGAGGTCTCCCCAGCCCCTTCTCCAGGTGAGCACCCCCAGCGTGTCCCAGAGCAGAGGGAATCCAGCCCTCGGAGCCCTTTTTGGCACAGATCTGGGCCATTTTGGCTGCTGTGGGAGCTCCCACCAGTCCTCCAGCTGCAATAAAACCCCTTTTCACCACGTCACCGAAAACAGCCTTGGCGTCAGCGCAGCACAGGGATGCGCCCAACCCACACGGGCCCCAGGGAGGAACCAGCACAGCCCCTCAAACCAAGGGCTTCATCCCAAATGGATACGGATACTCCTCTCAGAGGAGCATCTCCGCACACCCTCGCTCCATGATGTCCCCAGCACATCCCCTCAGAGCAGGGTGACACTTTCCAGGAAGGTCAATGATTCCCACTCATCCTTTTGCAAGGGACGTTCCACCCTTGGGGCCAGCTCTCCCTTTATAGCTATTTTTTTTTTTTGCCCGTTTCTCCCTATTTTGCCCTCGAGGTTCAGCGCATGAGGAAGTTCCCAGCTGCGTCCTGGCCCTTCCTGGTTAAACGTTGGATTTGGGATGTCTCCTGGCAGTGCAGCCTTGCTCCCTCCTCTCCCACACTGGTGCAATCCCATCCCGATCAAGATTCTCTGGCTGGAATGTGAACACAAAATGTGATTTTGGGGGTTTCCTGGGGCTTCACCTGCTGCTCCCACTGAATATCCCACTGAAACAAGAACGTGCTGGATGACAAGAGCTCCTGCCCCATGGTCCTATTTATGTTGGTGCAAATGTCTCACAGTCTACTCAACAACCTCCACAGGGTATTTTCCACATGGAACGAAGTAGGTTTTCCAGAGGAAAAGGTGTCTTTAACCAGGTGATTAAATTTAAACAAGTTTTACTGAAGATCTGAGCAGGAGCTCACCTCCAGCTCCACACCCAGCATCTAGGAGCACTTCCACACCAGTTGTGTGGCTGCTCTCCTGCACCAAGGGGAATCCACACTGCCTTAAATAATTTCAAATTTTAAATACCTATATTGCCCTTGTTTATGTGTCAGGGTGGATTCCGGGATCTTTCCCGCAGATCCCATGGAAGAACAACGGCTGAAGGCAGAGGAGGAGACACAGAAAACCAGAGGTTTTCTTCTAAGGTGTATTTAAACACTTTTGGATTGGTTTTGTCACGGGACAAGCCTGAAAGAAGTGGAAACTTCTTTTCCAGGCGCTGGATCTCAACTCTCCCAGGACAGCTCTGCTCCTCCAGGGAGCTGCTGGAGGAGGGGCAAGTGCCAAAATTCCAGCTGTATGGGCACATCCAGCTCCCTGGCAGGGAGAAACCTGCAGCGAGGCAGAAGAGGATGGATGAAACAATCTCTCTCTGCAGCCTGGGAAGCCTTTAAAAAAAAAAAAAAAAAGTAGAAAAAGCTGCCTGGTGGTTTTTTTAGCGCATTACATAAAAAAAGGAAATCATTGAGTCACCTCAGCTTCTCTTTCCAAATGTCACAGAAAGGTTGGGAGGTTGTGCTCCTGCAACAGGGGATTCTGCTCCCTGGCTGGGAAACATCCGAAAGGCAAAGAAAGGCACGCTCCAGTTGGAAATAAGGGCCATGTTCCCAACAGGAGGGTGCTCAGACACCAGAACGAGCTGCCAAGAGCAGCACTATTTATCTTTGTATCCAGGGAAAATCGAGAGCAGGGGAGATGGAGGAAGATGCTGTCATGGAGAGAGGGGGGAGTGGGAATTAAGGGGTGCAGCCCCATTCCATGGGCACTCAGCATTTGAGGACATGGAAGAGTCATCTTGGATGTGCTGTGAATGGTGGTGTTCATCACCACTTCCCCAAAAACACAGGCCCAGCCAGTCCCCTCCGGGCACAGGAGCCTCTCCCCAATTCCCTCTGGGGATTCCAAGTTCCTGGGAGGAGAAGCCCAGGTTTTCTGGAATGGGAACGCCGGCCTTAACCCAGCTCAGGCTCATTCCCCCTGCCTGGGGCTTGCCAGGTGGGATCAAAGGGCAGGACAACATCCACGTGGGCACTTCTGTCACCAGCCGGGAAAACACAGCGTGGAGCTGGGAATCTGTGTCCTCTGCGTCGTGGAGGAGGGAGCAAAGGTGGGGTGGGTTCCCTCCAGGAAACAAAGGCAGGAGGAGATTTGCCACGTGGATGAACTCAGATGAACTGCAGGGAGAAAGTCCACCAGGAAGCCCGGACAGCTCCAGCCAAGAGCAATCGGAGCGGGAATCAGTCCTCACGCAAAATTCCAGCCGATCCACCCGGGAGGAACAGCCCCGAGATGGGGGCTCTGGAGCATCTCCCGTGGAAGGAAAGGGGAAAGTGGGGCCACGCAGGAGAGAAGGGAGCAGGGAAGAGCCTGGGAGAAAGGACAGTTCGTGTGGAAGAGGCAGGAGGAGGCAATTTGGCTCGGGATGGGTTTTCCTGAGCCAACTCCAGACTGTCCAGGCTTGGGGGAGGGCGGGCTCCAAGGACCACCCAGCGGACATCTCTTCCCAGGCAGACCCTCGTGCCCACCTTCTCTCCCGCCGCCGGGAAATCGGGGAGGAGGTCCCTCCCCGCCCAGCCTTCCTGCGCTCAGGATTTAGAAATAAATAAAGAAAGAAAAATAAAGGGACGAAGTAAATGGCCGCCGCCACGCCACACTCAAGATGGCCGCCGGACCCGCACTCAAAATGGCCGCCGGACTCACACTCTGCACGCCACGTGGTCAAGCCACACTCAACATGGCGGCCGCGCCGTGATGGATGCGGCGAGCGACCAATCAGCACGCGAGAAGCTGGCGGAGGGCGGGCCGTAGCCGGCGGAGCTCGCGGTGATTGGCGCAGGGCGGGGTGCCCTGTGTAGCCGCTGCCGCCAGGCGGCGCTGCCCGGAGTGTGCGGGGCCGGGGGGACGCGGTGTCCGCCATTACCGCCCGCACCCCCTCACCCTGCTCGCCGCCTCCCGCGGGGTGCGGGTCCCCGCCAGCACCGCGACTTGCCCAGAAACTGCCGCCTCTGTGAGGCCGCAGCGGTCGGAACGCGGGGCTGCCCGGAAATTGGAGTTGTCAGCGGGCGGAACGCTGGGCGGGAGCCGCGGGGCGGGGGGGGATCCAGGCGCGGTGCACCGGAACCCATTGGGGGGACGGTTTGAGGGACGGACCGAGGGATGGGATGGAATGATGGTGGCCGTGCCGAAGGTACCGGGATCGGGAATGGGACCGGGAATGGGGGACACGCTGGAAAGGGATGGGCCTGGGAGCCTGTTCAGGGCCCCACCACCCTCTGGAGGAACGACCTTTCGCTGCTGTCCAGCCTAACCCTGTCCTGACACAGCGCCAGGGTCCTGTCCCTGGTGTGACCTGGGGGTATTGGTGAAAATTCCCTGAGGATCTGCCACTCTCTTTGTGTTTTGGCCGTTCCAGGTGCTGTGCTGGGAGAAGGGAGCGATGCTCAGGCAGCTGTTTGCCCTTAGCAGGTGAGTGCCTGAAACCAGGGAGTGGAACACAATAAAAGGCATTAAAAACACCCCAAAAAATGGCTAAAGGAGATTTGCCACATATTTTTCCATGCGTGGGGGAAATCAGAGCTTTGAATCATTATCTTGTTTCTTACAGAACTTTTAATCATTGTCTTGTTTCCTCCAGAGCAGCAACACCCAGAGAAAACCATCTGTGTGCTGCAGGTAAAGTCCCCTTTTAATCCAAATAAATGGAGCATTTGTGTTTCCTTTTGATTTTAGGTGGGGTTTTTTAGCCAACTTTGGGCTGGTTAAATAACCTGAGCTGATGCTCTTCGACCTCCATATGGTTTTATTAAGATTTTCTTCTTTTTGTGGTAGCATTTCCCTGGTCTCCCAAACCACCCACAGCCTCTTTTTTTTTTCTTTTCTGTTGTTCCCTCGAGAATTCCCCTGGGAAATGAATATTTTTAACCTCTTCCCTCTTTACTTGTGGCTGCTGCCCACATCCAGCTGTTGAGCTGGAACAGGATTTCTGCTTCCACTTCCAGGTGCTGCTCTCCTGAGTTGCCACAGATCCTACAGATCCCATCCCGCTCATGGAATTGGGAGGTACAAATACCTGCTCCCACCAGAGGTAGGCAGAAGGAGTTTTATTCCTGCTGTTTCTACTCCCTTATTTTTTTTTTTTTTTAACCTCTGGAAGAAATTAAAAAATACAGACGTGTTCTTTTGTGGGGATTTTTCCTGTGGTGCTGCCATCCAGGAACTGAAGCTGAGGTGTCAGGATAATGCCATCCCAGCTTTCAGGCAGGGAGAGGGAGCTGGGGTGTGGCTGACAAACCCTCTGCCAGAGGAGCAGCCCCACAGGAAAAAAACCCAGCAGGGTTTTATTTCCAGCGTGGCTCAAACTCCCCGTTTTGTTCCGGAAAACAGACTCCCAAGAGGAAAAAGGACAGAGTGCAGATGAAGGAGATCAATCCTGGCACCGAGTTTGAGTACGGAGATGTCAACATCCAGATGACTTCCTACGACATGTGCCTGGTGGAGCACTTTGCCCAGTATGTCCACAGGCTCTGCAACAGGCTCTCCATCAAGGTCAACGAGAGGTATGGGACGCCGCATTCCAGCCCTTCTGATTCCCATCTGGATGTAAATCCAGAGCTCTCCTCTGCCCCTCTTCTCTTTCTGTGTGTCCCTGCAGTTTTGTGTGTTCAGTTCACACGAGGAAGGTTCAAACTTTTTCCAGCAAGGGAAAAAAAATACCTGGCTCCGTCTCGTTCCTCTGAGGGAAAAAAGGGCTTTAAGCCTCTGGGTTTAATGTTATTGTTTCAGGTTTTAAGCCTGGTTTAAGCATTGCTGACAATTCCTGCTGGTTTTCCTTGCTGGGGTTTGATCCAGGCTCTGTGCAGTGAGTGATGCTGGTTATCCCGGCTGGAATGAACTTGGGAAAGCCCTCGAGGTGCTGGGTGAGCTTCCTGCTCTCCTTCAGTTTAGGAACAGAGGATGCTTTAGGTAAACACCTGAAACAGGATTATCCCAACAGCAGCTTGGGATTTAGAGCCTGAGGGATGTGAGGAAGCTCCTCAGTGCTGAAGTGCTCCCCAGGAGCTGCAGGCACTGGGAGAAAGCCCTGAGTTGTTGCCATGAGGGAATGACAACAGTGGTGGATTCTCCAAAACGTGGATTTTCAGTTGTGCCCTCTGAGGTTGGACCTGGTTCAGTGTGTCCAGAAAGGAAGGATTTTACCTTGGAGTGAAAATTTTAGTGGAAAAGGTGGGCAGAAGGATGTAACTTGTTCTGTGGGAACGGGGATAGGGATGCTGAGGTCTCTGGAATCCTGCTGGGAGCAGGGTGTGCTCCAGTGCCCACTCACACTCCTGTTAAATTTGAGGGGAGAACAGTGTCTTTGCAGCAGCAGTTTTTAGCTCTGTCCCTGATGACAAAATAAGTCAGAACTGTTGCTTTCCTTCAGCTACAAAGAATGTAAAATATCTCAGGCTGGTGTTTGGAGCCAGTCCAGGTTTTCCCTGGCAGCAGGTGCTCCAAGCTTCTCCTTCATCCCCTTCCCATAAAACCCTGGCCTCTGCTAGTGCCTCATTTGCAGGATACACTGTTTGCAGAATTAATTCCTCCGTGGATGGCTGATCCATCCCTGTGGAGCACTGGGAATGTCCTTAGGACAGGGAATGTCCTGCCTGCCCTCAGCTCTGCCCTCTGTCTCCCCCAGCTATGCCATGCCCACCAAAACCAACGAGGTGCTGTTCCTGGAAGAGAAAGGATCCAAGATGCAGGTGGATGCAGTCCTTACCACCCACCAGAGGGTTGTCCAGGTAGGAAGTGGTGTTCCCTGATATTCCTGTGGTTCTCCTGCAGCACAGGCTCTCCAAACCCCTCCACAGTTGGAGCTGAAAGGTGTAATTTGGGCATAAAGCCTTAATTTGATCTCTCACTGAAAGTCCCCCCCAAAGTGGAAGCAGGGAGAGGTTTCCTGAGTTCATGTAATTTTCAGGCACCAGATTTATGACCTATTTTCTGCAAAATACTCGATACAGGAGGTAGAAAAGTCATGTTTAAGGATGGATGATTGGAAAAATTCCACAGAGTTTAAAACTACTCTTAGGAACAGCTTCAGAAGACCCCAGAGCCCCTTCCAGGGCCTAAAGGGGCTCCAGGAGAGCTGGAGAGTGAGTTGGGACAAGGGATGGAGGGACAGGACAAAGGGGGAATGGATTGACATGGACAAAGCACAGGGTCAGATGGGATACTGGGAAGGAATTCTTCCCTGGGAGGGTGAGGAGGCCCTGGAATAGATTTCCCGCAGAAGCTGTGGCTGCCCCATCCCTGGAAGTGTCCAAGGGCAGGCTGGAGCAACCTGGGATAGTGGAAAGTGTCCCTGCCCATGGCAGGGGGTGGAATGGGATGATGTTTTCATGTCCCTTCCAACCCAAACTGTCCTGGGATGGTTGTCCTGGAGCTCTGTCATTCCTTCCCTCAGATCAGTGGTTTGAGTTCCACGTTTGCTCCGATCCTCCTGGAGATTATCCAGAGTAACCAGCCCGAGGGGGTCCATCTCCTCATGAAACAGGTACGTTTGCATTTCCCAGTGCCTCTCCTTTCAGGAAGCAGAGATGATCCATGTCAGGAAGATCCAGATGATCCATGTCAGGAAGATCCAGACTTGGCCCTGAGGCTGCTCCTGCAGCTTAGGGTATCCAGGATCTCCCAGAGCCAGGCCCTCCCTGCTCCACGAAAAACCACTGCTTCTAATTCCCGATGAGTGTTTCCTTTCCTGTTTAGCCTCCTCTAATTGGTGCCACTTCCCAGCCACTCCCACAGATCCACGGGAGACTGCAGCTTCCTTTCCTTTGCTTCCACACATTCCCTGTGAGTCCAGAGGGAATGCTGCACTCCAGCATTGCTCCACCATTTATCCTGGAATCCCCAGGAGCTTCGTGGAGCAGCTGGGAGCAGAGCTGAGGCAGGAAACCCAAACGCTGTGCCCTGTTTTGATGGAATTCGCTTTGGACTGGGGGGTTAAAACTGAGGGTTGTGAGGAGCCCAACAGTTTTCCAGCACTGAGTGACTTCCCACTCCCAGGGCATTTCAGCCTTTAGGTTTTCCTGTTAATCCTGATTTCCTTGGCTGGTTTTCTCTCCCTCCACAGCACACAGAAGCTGACTTCAAGAGCAGATTGAAGGCTCGGCCAGAGCTGGAAGAGCTGCTGGCACAGATGAGCTGAGTGAGGAAAACTGCTCCATGCAGGGGCTGCTCCAGCCTCCAGAGGGGGATTCCACGAGCACTGTGCTGAGAACTCAGTGAATTGGAAGGAATTTCCACTGTTGGCTGTCTCAATAAAGATGTATAATGTATTTATTCCTGACTGGTTTGTACTGGGAGCAGTGGAATCCCACACAATGGAATGTGGCTTTACATTCCTTCAGTTCTTCCTTATTGTTTTATTCCTGCCTGTTCTGCTTTTGACAGGTGGGAATTTCTGCAGAAATCCCTGCAGGTGAATGATGCTGAGCTGCAACGATCCCAGGAATTCTGTTCTAAGCAGATTTGGTGGATTCCAAGAGAAACTATTCCAGACTAGTTTGTTTAGAAGTTTTTTTTCCCCCCTTTTTAAGGACCTCCCACTAAACACAGGGAAAATAACTCATTCATTAACACTCTGTCCGTGTGTTGCTTGTGCTCCTGATCCTGCTGTAATTTTTGGGAATCCAGCACCCACCTTCCTGGGAAACAGCCTGGGAAGTTCCTTCTGGCAAAAGCCAGGGATGTCCTTCCCTTCCCAGCCTCCAAAAAGCTTTGTTTCTCTTGCCTAATTTGCCAGGAAGTGGTGGACAGAGGAGCATCCTTTTTTTCCCCATTCCTAATTATTCTGGGGCTTCCCTGGAGATAAATCCCCTCCCCAAAAATCCCACTTGGTGGGACACGAGGTTATTGGTGCTGGTAAAAGCCTTGGGAAGGACATGGGAGTGGAAATCCATGGCAGGGCTGTTGTGGAGCCAGGGACATTTTGGGCTGGAAATCCACAGCCATGGAATCATTGAGGTGGAAAAGCCCTAAATTCCCACCTTGTCCCCAGCCCAAAGCACTGAGTGCCATGTCCAGTCTTTCCTTAAAAACTTTCAGGGATGGGGATTCCACCACCTCCCTGGGCAGCCCCTTCCAATACCTGACCACCCTTTCCATGAAAAAATTCCTCCTGATGTGCAGCCTGGTGCAGATTGAGGCCGCATCCTTCAAACCCCTCTGACCTTCCCACTTTGCTGCTGGCACAGATGAAGACGATTCAGTTCCCAGATTTAATTTCCCAAATAGATTTCCCGGCACTTGGATTTAAAAAAAAAAAAAAGAAAAAAATCACACACAAAAAAAAAAAGGGTGGTGAAAGGCACAGCTCCCCCATTCCCGGGGGGTGTCACTGTGCAGGGTGTGCCCGGCTCTGTCCCCGTTCCCGCTGTTCCCGCCGGGCCATGCAGGCTCCGAATGCCCGGAGCTGTGTCTGGCAGTGCCGCCAATCCCGGTGCTGTTCCATGCACTCCTGCAGCTCCCGGTGCTGCTCCAGGCAGCCTGTCCGGGCGATCCTGGCATCCAGGGGGTCCTCGCCCTCCTCTTCCTCCTCCTCCTTCTCCTCCTTCCCCGCCGGCGCGCGGCTCCAGGAGTGTCCCGGCTTGGCCATGGGAGAACTGGGAGGGAAGGACAGGGTCGGGGGTGTTATTTGGGGGGCGCATCCTGTGCACCCCACAGGAGGGACTCAGCACCCTTAGAGACACCCAGGACCCCCTAAAACGGGCGCTCAGCACCCTCCCCATCGCACCCCATCCCCAGCACCCTCCTGACCCCCACCCACCCACCCTTACACCGCCGGGGGTGCCCACCCATCTTCCCCCTCCCAGAGGTGCTCGGCACCCCCTCCCTCGCACCGTACCCGCACCCGCGGGGGAACCGCTCCCTCCGAGCCGCCTCGGCCGGAGGCGGAAAGGGAGGTGTCCCCACAGAGAGGGGCGGTGTCCCCACAGAAGGGCGGTGTCCCCGCAGAAAGAGGCGGTGTCCCCACAGAAAGAGGCGGTGTCCCCACAGAAGGGGCGGTGTCCCCACAGAAGGGGCGGTGTCCCCACAGAAAAAGGCGGTGTCCCCACAGAAAGAGGCGGTGTCCCCGCGGCAGGGGCGGTGTCTGCCGGCCATGGCGGCGCTGCGCATCCAGAGCGACTGGGGCCTCGCGCTCAGGTACGAGCGGGGCTTGGCCCTGTCCTTGTCCCTGTCCCTGTTCCCTGTCCCGGCCCCTCTCCCCGTTCCCTGCCCCAGTCCTGGTCCCTGGTCCCAGCTCCTGCCCTTGTCCTTATCCCGGCCCCTGTCCTTATCCCTGTCCCTGTTCCCTGTCCCGCTCACGGCCGCTCCTTCTCTCCGCAGCAGGGACGAGGGCGAGGCCTGGCTGAGCTGCCGCTGCCCCGGTGAGTGGCCGGGAGGGCCCTCGGGGGGGATCAGGAGGGTCCTGGGGGTGACGGGGGGACCGGGGGCCCTGTAGGGCAGAAAGGGGTGGGGGCGCTGCTGAGGTTTGAGAGGGGGTAAAGATTATTGGGATCCTTGGGGGGTTAGGAAGGGATGGGGGAATTTTGGGTCCCTGTGGGTTGGGGGAGGTGGGAGCATTTGGGGTGAGGAGGGTGAGGAGAGGACACGGGGTCTCTGTGGTTTAAGAGGAGGTGGGGTCCTGTCCTTAATGGGGTTGTTTTGGGGTCCCTGTGGGTTAGGAGGGGGACTATGGGGCAATGCCCCTGAATTAGGAGGGGTTGGTGGTGTTTGGGGTCTGTGTGGGGTGGGAGGGGTTGCAGTTGTTTGGGGTCCCTGTGGCTTAGGAAGGGCTGGGGGTGTTTGGGGTCCATGTGGATCAGGAGGTGCTGGGGGAGTTTGGGAGTCCCTGTGGTTTGGGAGGGGCTGGGGGTGTTTGGGTCCCTGTGGGTCAGGGAGGGTGTGCTGAGGGTCTCTGTGCCGTGGGGGTCTCTGTACTGTGGGGTCTCAAGGCTGCCCCTTTTCCCACAGGGAAGCCTACCCTGTATGGCAGCGTCACCCGCCGTGGGCTCAGCTCCGAGGGCATCCCAGACATCGCGGCCTCCGAGGGATTCCTGGTCCAGGAAGTCACCAAGGTGCCAGGGCAGGGGGGGTGACACAAAGGGGGGACACTGACAGCCCAAAGCTGCCACCCTGCAGGATCCCACAGCTGGCCCCAGGTCACAGCTCTTTCTCAGCAGGACCAACAGCACCTCTAATTCCCTTTTTTCCTCCTTTCTTTCCTCCCTTAGAAAAGCATCCTCATTTCTTGTCCTCACGAAAATGTGTCCACAAAGTTCCTGGCCCCGTACACAACTTTTTCCAGGATTCATCAGAAAAGTGTGAGTATCCTGCGAGGTGGGAGGGGAATCCCTGGAGGTGACTGGGAACTCTTCACAACACATCCCTGACCGTGGTGTCCTTGTGCTGGGGGGGGCCTGGAGTGCATGTTGGAATGGCCATGGAACTGTGATCTTGTCATGGTTTAGGAAGGGTATTCCCCAATTTAGTGTTCCCAGTGGATGGAGAGGGAATTGGAGGCACACAAGATCAGGGATTTAGATAAGAACAGTGAACGATTTACTGGTAACAGCAGTGGAATAAGGAAACTAACAGAAACAAAAATGCCAATTAACAGGGAACAATCCACACGGGAACGCTCACGTGTGCCACCCGAATATCCCCGGGATCCCTGTAAAACTGAACCCTGTCCTCAGCAGAACCAGGACATCCCCACCCCTTATTGTACCCCATCTACAGCGTGCCCAGATCCTACTCCTCCCAGCTACATCTACACACACAAACATGGGTCTCATTCCCATTTCTCCATTAGATTTCTGAGCCTTACAAACCCAATCCAGTCCATTCTTTGAGAGCCCGCTCTCTTCCAACACTTCTGTCCGGGAGCTCTTCTAAAACCCTCATTTCATCCAGAGTTTGGCTTTGAGTGTGCTGCAGCTGTTCCACCTGGGAAGCTCAGGGATGTGTGCAGCAAGGAAAGCGGGGCTGCGGCACACGGGGCAGACGCCGGAAATCTGCAGGACCGCCGTTTCCACGCATTCCCTGTGGAATTCGTGCCCACACTGCAGCTCACACGTGTCTTTGCCCAGCATCTCGTAGCACGCTCTGCAGGGATAGCAATCACGGTTCCTGGACAAGCTTTTCAAGGGCAAGAACTTCACCCCTGCGAGGCGAGAGAGCTCTTGGTGGTACTGGCAGAGCCGGGCGGCCAGTCTGTTCACCGTGAGCCGCGCGCTCCATCCGATGGCCGGGAATGTCCCGGAGTAACGGCACGGAGCACTTTCTCGGAGCCGGTGCCACGTGTGGAATGTACAGAAGGCTCTCCCTGGATCCAGGGGGAACTCCTCCCTCCTGGCCTCGTCGTAGAGCACCTGCAGCACAGCCAGTTCCCTCAGGTACTGGACGCCTTCCTCCAGGTTCCACCACACGTCCCTGGGCACGAACAGATGGTTCCTGGCAGGATACAGCTCCTTCACGCTGCACAGGAGCCTCTTCCACAGGCTGAGGGGTTCTGCCCTCTTCCCAATCCCCTTGTCAATGTGCACTATCCAGGCCAGGCATCCCAGATTCCTGGCTTCCCTGCCATCCAGCGTTATATCCTGTGCCCCGAAGGCCCAGCACCGGGCCAGCCAGGCCGGCACCGACTCGTTCAGCTGGCGCCGGAAATATTTCTGGACGTGCCGCAGCTTCCCCAGGCACGGGCACTGCAGGGTCAGCGCTGCCCCTGGCTCCTCTTCTTCTGAGGACCCTGTTTCCTCTTCTTCTGAGGACCCTGTTTCCTCTTCATCCCTCGCTAGGAGGCCAGATCTGCTCCTGGATTTCTTCCGTGCAGGGACCAGCGCTCCCAGCAGGGTTTCATCATCAGTTTGAGTGGCCGCTGATTTGCTCTTGGATTTCTTCGGGATGGGCACTGCTTCTCCCGGCAGGGCTCCAGCTGCAGTCTGAGTGGCCACGCTGATTGTTGTCCTCCCTTCCCCGCGGGGGAGCTGCCTGGCATCCAGCAGGGCCCGGTAAGCGCTGGCCAGGGCCCAGCACAGGGCAATGAGTCGCTCCTCTCTGGAATTGCCACGGCATTTTTCTCTCAAGTATTCTGCCATTTTATCAGGGTCCTGTAGTTGTTCAGGGGTGAACTTCCAAAGCACTGCGGGAAAACAGTCCTCCAAAAGCTGGCCGATTTTCTCCCACCTTCCCTGCCACTCCTGATTACGCACCGTGGGGACAAGTGCCTGGAAGGCCCTGCTAAAAACTCCCCTTATCTCCCTAAACACGGTGCTGACCACGGCTCTGAGCGTGTTGTAGAGAGTGCCGAGGAAACTGGGCAGGTACAGCAAAACGAGGATGCTTTGCATGACACTGAAAGGCAACTCAAAAGCTCTTGTGCGCGTCCTGAAGGAGTAACCGCGGTGGAAAAGCTGGAGAAAATAACCCTTCCCTGTTCTCCCCGCGGACTGGGCAGGAGTATTGTTGGACTGGTGGACGTGGAGCGTCACGTCACAAATTGCTATCGCAATGCACAGCACCAGAACAGCGCTGAGTCCTTTCTTCGCCCTGGGATAAAACTTCAGGATGGGCTCAAACGGGTGTTTATAATAAGGGCTAAAGAGCATAACCCACAGGAAGAGGTGCAGCCACCCTGCATCCATTGCCAGTTCCTAATAGAGCCAGTGCTTGGATCCGAATTGTCCTCGACCCGCTGCGGACAGATCTGTCCTATCCCAACCCTTCCTGCCCCCGAATTAGGCTGGGGTGGTTTCGGGATGGAATTCCCGAATCCCAGCCAGCGGCTGGAGAGGGGAATTGGAGGCACAAAAGGCAAAGGACGGACGGGGGTTGAGATAAGAACAACTCACTGGGAACAGCCCTGGATGGAACGAGGAGCGAACCACGCGGGATGCGGCCGGGAAGGAGGAAACTCGGGAAAACGCTGCACCTCTTTGTCCTGCCCGCGCATGGAGGGGCGGGATCGCATGCCATCCTGGCCCTGCCCCTCCTGCCGCTGGAGAAGTTAACCCTGTCTGGCCGGAACCTTCCCTTCCCGGGGTGGATCCGCATTTCTTGTTCCTGCCGGGGATTTCACCCCTGCAGCGTTTTCTCCCAATGCACGGACTGCGAATGCAATCGGAAAACCGCAGTGCAAATGCAATTACCGGAATCACTCAATCCTTAAGGTTGGCCAATCACCTCCAAACAGGTTTCATCTTGCCTCTTCCTCCTGGAGCTCCTCTCTATCAACCTTCAAGGTCTCTCCTCTAAGCCTCAACACTCCTTATCAAAACTCCAAGGTTTTCTGTTCCTGCTAGAGTCCTCAGGATAAAATTAACCATGTCCTGTCTGTGAGTTAGCATAAGCAAGCAAGGCCCTCTCCTAATCCTATCTAAAAATTAGCTCTAGTAAGCCACTAAGGCTACAACCTTTTGTCATCACTTGGTATTTTGATCACTTAGAGCTGTACAAGGATGTACTTAGCAGGTCTCCCCCAGTATAGAATTAGGCTCTTGGGCAGAAATGTCTCTATAAAGCTAATTTTTGGTGCTTTTCCCCTCCTGCAGATCACCTGCCTTGACATTTCCAGTGGTGGAGGACTCGGTGTGTCCACCAGCACAGATGGGACCATGAAAATCTGGCAGGCTGCCAATGGAGAAATAAGAGTAAGAGCAGCTGGCTTTGATGTTTTGTGTTGGGTGGGACATTCCTGAGGTCCTTTGGCCCTGACTTTGGTCAGGCTGTTCACTCCCTGGGAAAAAAAATCTGGCATTTTGAATGAAAAGCTGATTGAGATTTGCCATCTTGGAGTCTTTCAGTCAAATCTGTTGGGAGGGGTTGTCTCCTCCCAAGGGGAAATGTTGCTCAGCAATCCAGAGTCCCAGGGCAAAAATGGAATGGCTTAGGAATCACAGGGAGAGTGCAGCAGGTGTGGTGCAAGCACTGAATGTGTTCTGCAGTAGAGCAGATTATAAAAAAAATTATTAGAGAAGATTATAGATTATTAAAGAAGCCGTAAAAGAAGACTATTAAAAAAGAAATTATTAAAAAATGTTTCTCTGCTGGATTAACCACACCCTGCCTTATCTGCCTGCCCAGTGAATGGGACCTTCAGCTCCTTGTTTGGCAGAGGATAAAGACATTTAACCTGTAATTAGAAGCCAATTTAGTGTCCTTTGCTACATAATTAGCTGCTGGAGTGGTAGAGGGAAGCCCAAAGTGTCCCCTCTCCACCTCAAATTCAGGCAAGCCCACTCCAGCAACACAAACCCCGAGGGATTTGAGCTTAATCCTCTTGCCCCTGTGAGAATTCCACTTTTTGCAGTGTCACAGCTCCAAGATTGCTTGGCATGAAGGTGATGACAATGGAACTAGCACGCGGTTCTTTGTTTTTCCAGAGACTGTTGGAAGGCCATGTGTATGATGTGAATTGTTGCAGGTTTTTCCCATCTGGCCTCGTGGTCCTGAGTGGGGGAATGGATGCCCAGCTCAAGATCTGGTCAGCAGAGGATGCCAGCTGTGTAGTGACATTTAAAGGTCACAAAGGAGGTACAGAACCTTTAAAATGCTTCATCTGCTGGGTGTGAACTTGCCTTGCACCCCAGGGCTGATGTGCAGTCACCAGTACCTTTTTTAAGGTCCCAGAACTTGAATGAAAAGGTTGGGAGTTGTTTGTAGCAGTAGAAGAAACTTGTTTCTCTCTCCAACCTGGTTTTGCTTCATTAATTAATTTGAAAAGAGGGAGGGTGCAACACAGCAGCCTGTTGCTCCAGAGGTGGAGGCACAGGAATTCTGCTCCTCCAGGGCAGTCTCAGCTCTCCAGAGCCCCATCCTGCTTCCAGGAGCTTTTTATTCCCTGCCCATGCCTCCAGCCCAAACTGCTGCAGTCACTCTGCTTGGCTTATCCTTGTCATGTTTAGTGGCTGTTTCTGCAGGGAAAGTGTCAAATTCAATCTCCTGACCATCTGACTGCTCCCTGCTGAAAAACCACTGTGTCATTTTTCACATCCAGATTTGACAGCCCACAGTAAAATAAAGTAGTTAGGGGATCTTAGCACCTGCAGAAGATGCTCTTTGGGTGTTACTGTAGCTGGATAAGAGGGATGCTGCATTTGGGATTATCCAGGGATGAACTTGGGAACATTTAAGAGTGCCAGGCCAGGCTGTTTTCTGCCCAAATTAATTTTGTGTGGTGTTGGCTCAGTCTGAGGTGAGATGTTGCTGATCATTTGATGGAAAACATCTTCCCTTCGTGCCAAGTGGTGGCTCCCACTTTGTAAAGTTTTCTGGGAGCTGCTTCCTTCCACAGGCACCTTTTCCTAGAGGCACAACCTGCCTGTGTGTGAGTGGTGTCACTGGGAACAGGGGGTTGGGGCGTTGGGTTCAGCTTGGGAAATGAGGTGCTTGTTGTGCGTGTGTGTGTCTGAACACAGCCTTTGCTTCCACGCAGGGATTTTGGACACTGCTATTGTGGATCGGGGCAGGAATGTCCTGTCCTGCTCCAGGGATGGCACTGCCCGGCTCTGGGACTGCGGGAAATCCGCCTGTCTGGGTGTCATTGCCGACTGTGGCTGCCCCGTGAACGGCATCGCCGCGGGCGCTGCCGACGACTCCCTGAACCTGGGCACGCCCGAGCACCCTCCCAGTAAGGCTCTTCCTCTGAAAATTCCCCTGCACCTCCCTGTCCCTGTTCAGCAGGAGTGATCCAAACTCTCAGGATTTGATCCCGTCAGGATCTGTGGCTGCAATGACGTGTTGTCCTTTTGCCAGGCGAGCGTGAGATCGGGACAGAAGGGAAAATCCTGCTGCTGGCCCGGGAGGACAAGAAGCTTCAGGGAGTGGGACTGCAGAGCAGGCAACCGGTAAGGATCTGGGATTGCCAGAGCATTCCTGGGATGAGGGATTGAGCCAGGATAAACCTAGGCAGGTAAACTGGTCAGTGTTATCCCAGCTCCACCTCCCACTGAGGTTCCCACTCGGTTTGGTCCCAAATTTCCAGGTGTTCCTCTTCGTGGGATCTGACGCCTTCAACTGCTGCACGTTCCTCTCGAGCACCTGTATCCTGGCAGGGACTCAGGATGGGAACATCTACCAGCTGGATGTGAGGAACACAAGGTGAGCGAGTTCTGTCTCTTGGGAAGCATTGGAGAGGTTCCTGCTAATCAGGTGGGTGATTTCATGGTGCTTCCTGAAAGACTCCAGGCTCCAGGCAGATTCCTTGGTTTCTGAAAAGCTTTTCCATCGTGATCCATGACCAAGGGTCCTCTTGGCATAGCCTTACCTTGCAGATTATTACTATTTTAATACCTATGTGATTATTAATTATAATAATATATAGCATATTAATAATATGATATGTCATTATGTTATAAATAATAATATAATGTGTATACTATATATAGTATATAGTATATTAATTTATATTCTATATAAATATATATTCTCTAGAATAATTCTGTGTACTATATAATAATTATTATATACATTATATATGTTATATATAATAGGTATTATCTATAATATATACAATATAAATATATATAATTATCATTATTCTATTATTTTTACTGTTCATTCTCTATTGTTTATTAATTATATTAATTGTATTATTTATATTCAATATTATAGTTACATATATTATTATTAGTTATGTCAATGTACTGTGCATATCATATTATATAAATATCTGTATTATTTTATATATCTATACATAAATATAATCCCAGTACACAGTAAATGTAGATAAATTGAACAGAAAACTTCTTAACATCAATATCATCCCCCCAAAAAAGCACAGCCCCTTCCTTTCCTTCACCTGAATGTTTTTGTGGGATCCTGATTCCAGGATTGGAACTCAGCTGTGTTGTTTCACTGGTGTTCCCTGAAGAGAATCATGGAATGGTTTGGGTTGGAATGGACCTTAAAGCTCATCCCATTCCACCCTCCTGCCATGGGCAGGGACAGCTTCCACTATCCCATGTTGCTCCAAGCCCCGTCCAACCCGGCCTTGGACACTTCCAGGGATGGGGCAGCCACAGCTTCTCTGGGAAATAATCCTCATCCCTTGTTTCTGCTCCTTTTTCCAGCGCTCCAATCCAGGTCGTCCACAGATCGGGAGCGCCGGTGCTTTCCCTGCTCCCGTACCGAGACGGATTCATTGCCAGCCAAGGTAATTCCAGTGCTGCGCTGGGAGAAATCCTGTCATGGAATCGAGGAACTCTGTGCTCTTTGGGAATTGCCCTCTTGCCCCTTTGCCTTGTGTCCCTCCAAAATGGGGCCTCCAAGGTGCATCTCGCCCGTTGGAGCCTTTTCCCCGTGGAATTTGTGCCTGTAATTAAGAGCTCATTTCCCTAATTGGCTGATGTCCCTCCCTTCCAGGGGATGGCACCTGCTTCATCCTCCAGCAGGACCTGGATTATGTCCTGGATCTCACCGAGGCCGACTGCGACCCCGTGTACAAGGTAAGGAATTACGGAGTATCCCTGAGGAGAACCTGGAAGAGGGAAAGCTGCCTTTTCCCTCAGCAGGTTCCTTCACACAGCTGACTTTTTGAGCTTATCTTTAGTTTTTCCTCCTGGATATTCCCAATATTTTGTATAAACAAATCCTCTGTGGTTTTCCCTGGCTTCATCTCCATCGTGCAGGAGCAGAACTGTGGAGCTGGAGTGGCTCTGGAAGGGCTGTGTTCCTATAAAAAGTGTGGATTAAGGATCCTGGAAAGATCCTGAGGGAAAAAGCAAGATTTTATATGGAAGTTTCCCTTCCTGTGTAAAAAACTGCCTTTTTTTTTTCCCCTCTTCCCCAGGTGGCTTCTTGGGAGAAGGAGATTTACACCTGCTGCAGAGACGGCACAGTGAGGAGATACCAACTTTCTGACCTTTAAGTGTTTGAAGGGACCAAACAAACAGTGAGGAAAATGTGTCGGGATGGCTCTTCCAAGCTGATTTTCCTGGGAGGTGGATGCACAATTTGAGGCTCTTGTGGCGACCAGAGTGTTTTGGTGGCCTAACAAGGAGAAATAAAGTCACAACAGACAAGAGGCTCATTTCTTTGCAGTGTCAGGGTAAATCTTCCACAGGTCTAACTGTTGCTGTGTCTGAGCCACCTGTTCTGCTCTGCTGGAACACTTGCACAGCAGCCTCTGTTTGGGGATGGGCCCTGCCACAGTTCCTGCTGGTGCTCCCCTTGACTGGTTGTTGGAGGAAAATCAGAGCAGTGTATCTTTTATTTTTTTTTTTAATAGGGTATTTTGCTGTTTTTGATTTACTTTCTAGGAAAAACCCTCTCTTGTCTGACTGTGTGATTAAGTAGCTGATGCAATAATTCTTTACAGAGAGGAAAAGATGCCAGAACATTTGAGTGGTGTAAAACTCGACTGCAGAGAGGATTAGAAAAGGTACAAGGAGGAATAATTTTGTCTTGGCAGGAAGTAGACTTAATAGTGCTTTTGTTATCTGTAATTTTTATGATTCTGTGGCTAACCAGGGCAATGTTTAATGTTCCTTATACAGCAGGTGAAGGCAGAAGAAGGAAAATTGACGCCCCCAGCACTGTTATAATTCATTTCATTACTTCACCCAGGGCTTTTATATTGGCACGCCCAAGGTCCCTTTTGTAAAGGATCTGTTTGAACAGTGACTCAATTAGCAAGGTGCAAACAAGCAAAAGCAAACAAAAAATTAATTGGATGGATGTTTTAACTAATATTCTAATTCGAAAATGTTTTAAAGAGGGATAAGGTGTCTGTCTCCTCCAGAACCCTCTGTCTTTGATGCTATTTAGTGAAAATATACCAAGTATGAGCTGTATTTTAGTAGCTGTAAACTTTGCTGGTTATGCATTGAGAGCTCTTGATTTTTCATAGCAGCATTCAACATGTGCACACTGGACATGGAATTACTTGACTTTAATTTTAGATACAAAATGTCTTCACTCAAGAAGCTTCTTTTCTTCAAAAGCGGGGCCTATCCTATATCTAACAAATCCCTCTGGCCCGCTGAACTACACATTTTAAGGAAAAAATAACGTGAATGGCAAAGAACTGGGTTGAAAAGGAAACCAGGTACGTGTGACAGGGAAGGCAAACTCATTCTTATCTGCTTTTTTTCTTTGGTTTGTTAACTGAACCTGACATAGATAATAAATCCTGTGGAAAAAAGATTGAGTGGGATATCGTATTGACTACTACAACATACAGAAAAATTACTCAGAGTGGAAGATTTGCACTGATTGAGTCAGGTATTTTGATGGAAAACTGAATCAACCAATACGCAGATAAACCCTGTTGGAGTTTAATCTCGATAACAGTAAAATACCATCTTGAAAACTAAAGAAACCCCAGGGTTTTGAGGAGTTCAATAATACTTTCATGTAGTGAGTTTATCTATGTTAAAAAAAAAAATCACATACAAGTGATAAATAAACAACAAGGGTTCCAATTTTATATATTCCTGTTTAAATGTTTTTCCTCTTATGTTGGAGACAACAACATATGAATCAAAATGCAGTTTTATTAAGATTTTTACAGAATGTGTTTGTGGGAAGGTGGAATCCATTTTAAGATAAGTTTGGGATGGGGGGAGAGGTAAAGTCCAAGTTTAGTGAAAGGATGAAACACTTTGTATGTGACTACATGAGAACACTTTTATTGGTATTCTGATGGTGTAACATGATTTGATTATGCTCAGAATTTGGTCATTTTCACTTCAAACAAACCCAGTATTAAGTGGTGGGGAGGCTGCATAAATGTTAATATGTGCATTCTCAATTTTAACTTCAGCTCTGTTACCACTTCAGTTTTCAGCTTAAAGGCTCTGCTTTGGCAGACTTTTTTTTTTTTTTTTTACAGCTTTAGTTTCTAGGAGTGCATTACCCTTTTATTTTACCTCTTATCCAAAAGAAATGAAGGGAAGTCTTTGCTGAAAACAAAGCCCAATGTGCTGTTGTAACACAGTCCGAGAAACTCCAATGTCAGGCGTTGATCCACGTGAACTGTGTGTTATGGATGTTGTGTGTGTGGGCAGATATCAGTTTTGATTTTGCTTTTAAAAGAAATTTTACCGATCTGTGACCAAAGTACTCAAAAATGGTTTTTATTTGGAGGGAATGTGCAGTCACCTGAGCTCTGGGTGACATCTATAAAAAACCCGGACTGGATTTCGGCTGGAGTACGGAATGGGGGAAAACCCGGACTGGATTTTTGCCGGGGTATGGAATGGGGGAAAACCCGGACTGGATTTTTGCCGGAGTACGGAATGGGGGAAAACCCGGACTGGATTTTTGCCGGAGTACGGAATGGGGGAAAACCCGGACTGGATTTTTCCCAGGTTTCGGAATGGGGGCAATCCCGGGCTGGTGCCCCTAAAGCTGGCACCGTCCAACCCCGCAGTCTCAGAGCGCCACACCAAGGATGGCGCTGCCGTGACCAGAATGTGTCGAGAGCCACACCGAAGATTGGGGCGCGAGGCTTCCCCCACCCTTCCGCCTCAGAGAGGCGTCTCTCCTGTTGCCTGACCATCATATTTATGTTGAAAACATAAATGTTTTCTGTTTCGCTTTGGGACGGCCCTTTATGTCAGGGTGATGTGACCCTTCGTGGTCTTGGAGGAAAAGGAAACATGTGCTCCCCCAAAACCACAGGTAATGTTTCTTCCTTCGACACAACTGCGATCAAATTTTAATGTAGAGACGATGTTGTGTTGCAGTGGTGTTGGTTGGGGTGCTTTTTTCTCAGTGCTGAAAAAGTGCTGTTTGTAGGGGGGAAAATAAATAAATGGGGGGTGTGTGTGGGGGGGTTCTGAAAGTGACTGCGTCACAGTATGGAGTGAAATAAAGCGGCTGCTTTGATAACACTGGAGTGGGAGAGGAATTTCCCGAGGAAATTTGGGAGGTTTATAAGAAAAAAAGAGAGGAGGGGAGGGCTGGGGGGGCGGAGTGCGGAAGTGAGCGGGCGAACTACACCTCCCGTGGTGCCCCGCGCGGCGCGGACAGGAAGTGCCGCGGTCGCCATAGCAACGGGACGCCATGGGCCTGGACTACTACGCCGTGTTGGAGCTGGACCGCGGGGCCACCGCCGACGACATCAAGAAGGCGTAAGGGACCCCCGGGGTCGCGGCGAGACCTCCGGGACCGGGGGGGTGCTGGGGGCCCGGCGGGGAGCAGTGGGACAGGGGGGCAACCTCGTGGGTGGCTGCACTTGCCCTCCCCATGTGCCCCACAGGGGGATGGTGGCGGGGTGGAATGGTCTGGGAGGCCTGTGAGGGGCTGTATGTGGGGATGGGGTCTCTGCTGTCCCCTACAGAGGGTCCAGAGGGCTCCCAGGGCTGGAGCCCCTCTGCTCTGGAGCCAGGCTGGGAGAGCTGGGGGGGTTCCCCTGGAGAGGAAAACGCTGCAGGGGGACCTGAAAGCCCCTTCCAGGACCTAAAGAAAAAAGGGGGAAAGAATTCCTCGTTGTGAGGGTGGGCAGGCCCTGGCACAGGTTGCCCAGAGAAGCTGTGGTTGCCCCTGGATCCCTGGAAGTGTCCAAGGGCAGGTTGGAGCACCCTGGGATAGTGGGGGGTGTCCCTGCCCACAGCAGGGATGGGATGAGACGATCCTTAAGGTGCTTCCCGACCCAAGCCATCCCACGATCCGCAGCTACCGGAGGCTGGCCCTGCTGTACCACCCCCTGAAATGCAAGGAGCAATGGGGACCCTCGAGGTTCCGGCAGCTGGCAGAGGCCTACGATGTGCTCAGCGACCGTAAGTGCAGGGGGGGCTTCCCTTCCACGGATTTTAGGGGCAGGAGGGGCTGGAAGCGGGTGTGAATCCGTGTTCCCTGGCACCCTACCCAGCTGTGTGACCCCCCAGCCCAGCTGGGAGCTGGCACACACTCCGACACCCATCCCACCCCTTGTCCCGCCTCTACCCGAGCAAATCCCAGATCTCAGGCTGAGGCTCTCCCCCCATTCCCAACCCCTCCTTGTTCCCTAAGCCATGAAGAAAGGCATCTACGACAAGTTTGGAGAAGAGGGGCTCAAGGGGGGCATCCCCCTGGAGCTGGCCAGCGACAACCCCTGGAGCGTGGGATACGTGTTCCACAACAACCCCGAGAGAACCTTCAAGGAGTTCTTTGGGGGGGACAACCCCTTTGCAGGTAGGATGGGGGGTTTAGAGGGGGTGGCACAGACCCCATCCATAGCTGCTGTGATTCCATGCTCGGAGATTTAAGCTTTCCAGGGATGTTTCCCTGCCCAGCTGCTCTGATACGCCTCTGGTGCTCGGAGGCTAGATCCTGACTTCCCCCAGCCATGAGTGGGAGAGAGGGCTGGAGGTGCTTGTTCAGGTTGTCAGCTCTCCCCAGCTGCTCCTGTGACCTTTCCTGGGAGGATTCCCACCAAAAAGAGGGACTGGGAAAGCGAGGCTGCCCTCAACATGAGTGAGGCAGAAACAACCCTGGAAAAAAACCACTTGAGGCGGTTCTGGGTGGGAGAAGAAGGGAGATTAAGACCTCAGAGGCCCCCACACCAGCTCTGACCCCAGGGAGGGGCCATCCCTGTGCTCCCTCCTGCAGAATTCTTTGCTGAGGATGGCTCGGAGGTGCTCCTGCCCTTCGGAGGGCCCCGGGGCCGGGGGGCGCTCCGGCAGGACCCCCCCATCGTCCGGGACCTCTACGTGTCCCTCGAGGATCTGTTCCACGGCTGCACCAAGAAGATCAAGATCTCCCGCAGGGTAGGGCCGTGGAGCTGCGTTTTGGGATGGGCTCTCCCCAGCGGCTCCGGGGATGTTGAGGATTTGGGGCTGTGCCGCTCCCAGCAGGAGGTCGGAACAGTGTCCTCCTCTCCTCGCTTGACAAGGGGAATTCAGCACGGCAGGTGATGCAGGAGCTGGTGGGAAGCAAGGGCTGATTTTGGAGGTGGGTGGCGAAGGAGCCTGGCGTGTTCTGGGCTCCCACAATTCCATTTTCCCACCATGCTGTGTCTCCTTTGTGCCCTTTGTCTCCCGGATCCAGCCCCGGGTTTCTCCTGCTCCAGGACGAGAGGAAACTGCCTCAGGTTGTGGTCAGGGGAGGTTCAGGTTGGATATTGGGGAAAATTCCTTCCCTGAAAGAGTGGTCAGGCATTGGAATGGGCTGTGGGCAGTGCTGGAGTCCCTATTCCTGGAGGATGTGTGGATGTGGCACTTGGGGACAGGGGTTAGTGGTGGCCTTGGCAGTGCTGGGGACAGTTGGACTGGATGGTCTCAGAGGGCTTTTCCAACCTCAGTGATCCCACAGTTCTGGAGCCACCATGGACTACAATCCCATCCTTTCCCTGTTCTCTGCTGGCTTGTGCCGGGGGATTGGAGCAGTCCTGACCCTCCCCAGGTGATGAACGAGGACGGCCAGACCAGCACCATCAGGGATAAGATCCTGACCATCGACGTGCAGCCGGGATGGAAGCGCGGCACCAGGATCACCTTTGAGAAGGAAGGAGACCAGGTAAGCCCAGGATCCCAGAGTTCTTAGGGCTGGAAGGAACCTCACCCTCCGTGGAAAGAAGTTCTCCCGTGACACGAAGGTCTGGTTTCCCATTGCTGAGGGCACTTGGCAGCACAACCAGGGGAGCAATTCCAGCGTTCCTGTGCTCGGAAACACTCTGAGGAGCCATTCCTGCCTGGATTTTCCTCCGATTAAAAGCAATAATTGGAAGAGATGGTTTCCTGCCTGACACTTGGGAAGCCCAGTTTGATTTCCCTGAGGAAAGATTCCTTTTTCCTTTAAAGAAAGAAAATACCTTTCCCTTCTCCAGCTGCGAGCAGCAGCAAAAGAGCAGGAATTTGTGTCAGCTTTCCCTGTGTGAAATCATTTCCAGGTTTGCAAGGCCAGGTTGGATGGGGCTTGGAGCAACCTGGTCTAGTGGAAGGTGTGGAGTGTCTGTGGAGGGCGAGTGGAGCTGGATGAGCTTTATTATCCCTCCCCCCTCCATCCTGCCATTCCATGATCTTTTTTCCCCTCAATTTCAGGGCCCCAACGTCATTCCAGCCGACATCATCTTTGTTGTCCAAGAGAAGCTTCACTCAAGGTTTAAAAGAGTCGACAACAACCTCATTTACGTCGCCTCAATCCCGCTGGGAAAGGTAAAGAGCTGAGGGAAGGGAGGGAGCTCCACCTGCGGCCCCTGGGGCTGCGGGAGCAGCTCCCGGTGCCACTCCGTGCCCGGCAGGCACTGACGGGATGCACCCTGGATGTGTGGACGCTGGATGGGAGGCTGCTCAACATCCCCATCAACGACATCGTGGAGTAAGTGCCGTGCGGAAACGGGGCTTTTCCATGGATCCTGGTGAGCACGGGGGCACTCTGAGGAACCTCCGAAGCCTTTCCTGGCAGGTCTGGGGCTGCAGGAGGAGGAGGAGGAGGAGGAGGATGCCCACAGGGGGTGACTCTGCTGGTCTGGGGTGGTTTTTGGGTGGATGGGAGTCACAAGGGAGATGAGGGTGGATGGTGGAGCCTGAAAGAGGAGGAAAAGTCTCCCGTTGGACTTGACCCCCCCCCCCCCCGGGGGGCTCTGCAGGTGGGGCTGGGGGTCCTCTCAGCCCCTTCCTTTGCTTCTCAGCCCCAGGTACTGCAAGGTGGTTCCCGGGGAGGGAATGCCACTGCCCCAGGACCCCGAGCAGAAGGGGGATCTCCTCATCTACTTCAACATCTGCTTCCCCAAGAGCCTCAGCCCCGAGCTGAAAACCCTCCTGAAAGACGCCCTGGTGCCCGAGGAGCACTGACCTTCCCCCTCTCCTCCCTGAACACCTCCCTGCTGCAGCTCAATAAAGTCCATTTTGGTGTTCCTTTGGTTTGATTTTCATGTGTAGTACAAGCACTGGTCATTACTCTAAGCTGAACTGGAGAAAACATGCCAGAGGAGAAGGAACAGAAGGTGAAGGAGGGAAAACTGGCACATAATTCCTGACAGGAAGCACGGCACTGTGGGAGGGAGCACGAGGAGAATAGATGTGTGATTCCAAAGGGAGCAAAGCACCTGAACTGCTGTTGGTTCCAGGGATCTGAACATCACATTCCAACTGGCAGATACAGTTGCTGGAGGGGAAAGGCACAGCAGGCTGTTTCTGGATTAAAAAATGTTTATTCTCCCAAAATATATTCATATGGGGGTGAGGGGAAACACTGGAGTGCAGATGAACAAGGCAGCAGATCCTTGGAAACCCTTTCTCACAAGTCTTCAGGGCAGGAGAGGATGGCAGAAAACACAGCCCATAACTGAAAAGAGAAAGTCACCGAAAACCAGCCAAAATACTCAGTGGGAAAAGAACAACAGGAAGAAAACAAGAGGTGGGGTTTTTTTTACTCAACATCCACATGACCTGCAAGAGCTGAGACACTTGAAATCAACACTTGGCTCCTCTTGGAGGGAGCCAAGAGTTGGGATGTGGAAGTGTAATGGATTGGTTTAGCATTGCAATAAAAATAGTATCAAGCAGCTACTGTTAATATGGTTACAATGACACCAGCACTCTCCCAATGTTATTGTTGCTGTTCACCTCTGTGCTTTGTGGCCTGCAGGGGATTTTTTTGGTTTGGGGTTTTAGTTTTTTTTTTCCTTCAGGTGCAGGTAATTCAATGTCCAGGTTCTTCCCCAGGTGACGTGCTGATGGTGGTAGTGGGGGGTTTTTTTTGGGACAGCCAGGTGCTGTTCCTGCCCACTGCCATCTTTCTGGTCTGCAGAGTTAGAAATATAATGTCCCCAGGCCTGGAAAATGCTTGAACATCTCTGGCCTGATCTTTGGGGTAATGTATCACCCACGGCTGGAGGAGCAGAGTGTTTGAAAATAAACACACAATCGGGTTTGCTTTGAAATCACCAGGAACTGCAAGCCCAGCTCAGCTACCCAGGAGACCAAACCTGAACAGTTCTATGGCACAAGGCTCTGTCTTTACTGCCAGGACATAAATCGGGTAAGATCCCCTTTTTTTCGCTCTCTGCTGCTGTCAAAGCTGCCTTTTTATTTTGTTTTTCCTTGATCCCTGAGGGCTTCTGCTTACGCAGGATGGCAGAGAGGATTCGTTCTAAATCTTTTATAAACTGAGAGAAAACTTCCCAGACCTCTCGGTGTGGCAAACAGAAGGTTCAGAGAAGAAAGTCAAAGACAGAGATGCACTTCTGCTTTTCTGACTTAACTGTTTAGCTGTGCCAGAAATGTCCCAATGCCGTTGTGTCCCTGACTGGAGCTGCAGGAGAGCGTCTTAAGGACAGCAAAATAAAGATTTTAACCATTCCAACCGTGTGGCTCAGTCAGGGAGCAGAAGTTGGAGTGTTATCTGTCAGTCCATCCCAATCAGGCCTCTCATTTATTATCCCACTGCTATTTCAGCAGAGTGGCACAGGCTCCCAAAGCTCCCCTCTCTTGTGTCCCTCCAGGCTTTCCCGGGGCCGCCAGGAGAGGGCACATCTCCATCAGGGATGACACCGCTGCTCAGCAGCGCCAAGGAGGATTTTCCAGCTCGCTCTGCTCACTCAGGACTTTGGGGTTTCACTGCTTAGCGAAACTGCGGGGTTTTGCCTTCCTTTCTTCCCCTCTTTTCTCCTCAGGATGAATGTGCAGGTTGGCTGGACACTCTGCTCTGCTTTGCCACTACTTTGGGAAGTAGGAGGTGTGGATTTGTGGAATAAATTCTCAAAACTGTTAAGGTGGAGCCTGTAGGACTCTCAACTGTTACTTCCCTGAGGTTCCTGGGGGATGATGTGCTGTTATTACTGTGATGCTTTCTATGAAAAAAAAAAAAAATCCTGAAAAAGGCAGATTTTTCTGATCTCGAGAGTAGATGGGGACTCACATCTGTCTTTTGTTTCTGATATATAGGATGTTATAGAAGTAATAAAACATAACAAGCATTCATGGGAGCCTGGCTGAGAAGCAAATTTCCCTGATCTGACAGAAACTGAATCCATTTAACTGATCTTTACAAAGCAGAGTGAGGCCAAAACCATGAAAACTCGCCTATTTAAAGATTTTATAAATAGACCATAATTCAGTGGCACTTGTGACACTCCAGAAAAAGGAGCCCACAGCCTAAATTTTGACTGGCAAACTGCACACCGTTCAGCACTAGCTAATTAACACTGCTGGTGAATCTCAGACAGCCCCTGAGAGAACCAAAACATCTACCCACTGAATATCTATTTAAAAACACCCCGAGACACAGTGACTTCATGCAGCGACTCCTGTGCGAGCAACAACGGGCTCTGCATTGTTCACATTTCAATTGTTTTCTGCGTTTCTGTTTCAAATCGCCAGTTCCTTCATCCTCCTCCCAGCTCCCGGCAAACATCCCGAGGGGAACGCTGGATTTAGGGGGGAAACCCCTGAAAACTGAGGGTGCTCCGACACCAGCCCCGGGTTTCCTGGCTGTGCTTTAAGCCTCGCCTAAGCAAAGCTCTGCATTATTCCAGGTCGGCGGGGCTTTCCTGAGAGCGGCTGCCGAGAAAGGAGGGCTGAGCTTAAAAGGCTTCCTATTTGAGCGGGGATTAACAAGGCTTGGAAGCAATTTGCAAACTCACAAGCTCTTCGTGGCTGCTGCTGCCAGAAGCCTTTTCTTAAAGCATCTCCATCCCCCCAACCCCAACCCCAGGCAATACAGGGGGCTGGGGGGGGCTTAGCTGTGAAAGTCCTTGTTTACCAGGCTGCTGGTAAATCCCAGGCTGTTTATTCCATCTGTCCCGGGCTCTCATTAAGCCCCGGGGTGTCACCACGCCCCTTGCAACCCCCTTTTCTGCTGGTTTTGTCTGCACTGTTGGTGAGTCCCCAGTGCTTTATTCAGCAGAAAAAGCCACCACGAGGTGGTGGGGCCAGACTCCCATCAGGGGGCTTCTCCCTGACAAAGCACTGGGCAGTGAGGTTTAAATTGCATTTAAGGGAACTTAAAAAACCCAAGGGCAACCCACACCTTCCAACAACAGAAGGTTCCACCAAGCCGAGAGGAAAAGCCTTGGAATCAGCAAGGAGCTGGCCCTCAAAGCCCCAAACAGCTCAAGGCTCTGCCATTCAGGTGAGGCAGTTCCATTTCCAGGCTGGCAGGAGGAGACACGGCTGGAAAAGTTTGCTAAACAGGGCAGTGTTTGTAAATTTGCTCGGGGAACACCGAAACACACCCACCCCCCTGCCAGGGCTCAGGGCAGAGCAGCAGAGACAAGTCTGAGGTGGGGTTGTTATCTGAGCCAGATTGCTCAGGAAACACAAACCCCAAATGCCTTAAATGCCAGGAAAATCAGGCTGTTTCCCACAAGTGGTTTTTTTGGTTTTTTTCCCTACATCTTGGACACCCAGCTAAGCACGTGGCTGCCACCACACAGGGCAGGAGATACTGAACCTGCTGGTTTCTGCTCCATCTTTTGTTTCTCAAGTAGACTACAGGTTATTTGTAGTAGGAGCCATAGGAACTCTGCTGCTTTTATCCCTTCAGAGAATTATCTGTCTGCCCTGGTGCCATAGGACAGGGGTTTTTGGAGGGACAATCACATCCTTCTCCTTGAAGATTGCTTTTGTTTTGTTTTCCTGCAGAGCTGCTCCAGCCCTGGGAACAGCAGCAGAGGGATGTGGAGCTGCTGCAGAGAGTCCAGAGGAGGCCCTGGAGATGCTGCCAGGGCTGGAGCCCCTCTGCTCTGGAGCCAGGCTGGGAGAGCTGGGGGGGTTCACCTGGAGAAGAGAAGGATCCAGGGAGACCTGAGAGCCCCTTGTAGGGCCTAAAGGGGCTCCAGGAGAGCTGGAGAGGGACTGGGGACAAGGGATGGAGGGACAGGACAAGGGGGAATGGATTCACATGTGGACAAAGCACAGGGTTAGATGGGATACTGGGAAGGAATTCCTGGCTGTGATGGTGGGGAGGCCCTGGCACAGGTTGCCCAGAGAAGCTGTGGCTGCCCCTGGATCCCTGGAAGTGTCCAAGGCCAGGTTGGAGCAACCTGGGAGAGTGGGAGGTGTCCCTTCCAACCTCTTCCAGGCCATTCTGGGATTCTACGATTCCACATTTATGGCTGTGCCTGCCTCTGTCTGTGAGCAAACTGCAGGACACTCAACAAAAAGTGCCAACATTTCCAAATACACTGTGTGAAACTTGAATAGAACTTCCCTAATTTCAGCAGCCCTGAGCAGTGCAGGGCACTCCTTTACTTCTCTCTGCTTTTTTAGGCTAACCCGTGTGTTTTGCTCCCTTAAACCTGGATGGGTAAAAGTCTGGCTTTCCACTGAGCCTCCCTCCTATTTTCTCAGGCTGATAACTTAGTGCTGTCTGAGGTGTCAGCTCTGCAGCTCTGCTCCTGCTTCCACTGGAACCACGGTGGGGATGTTACCAGTGGTGGCAGAGGAAGGAAGATCAAACCCTGAGTCTTTTGCTGAAGTGAACTTTGCGACTGCTTCACTAATTCAATCACTTTGTGCACAGCTGTAACTCCCTTCCTTCCTTCCTGGAGCAAAAGGAACGAGGACAATCAGGGAATTTAGATGCATTACAGATAAATTGGCATCTCCCGGCAAAATAATCGTTTGCTGCCTCTGTGCTTGCTGTGGCAAGAGCCCTTGGAGAGGAAATGCAGAGGAGCCCGAGGGGACGTGCAGCGGGAGTGCCACGTGTCAGTCAGCAGGGACATCGGCACATCCCTTCCTCTGGGATCTTTTTCAGCCGCGGTGTTTCAGCAGGCTGCTGGAATTCCTCCCAGCTGCAGGAAAGATGCCCTCCCTTGGATGTTTTCTTAGCAGAAAAGGGAGCGTGTTCCACATGTGCAGCTTTCAGCTGGATGCTCCTCCGGGGTTGACTCCCTATCAGGAAGGGAACA